CCAAATGGTACCCTGTTACCCATAGGGCTCTGTCAGAAGTAGTGCACTTAATGTAGGGTATAGGGTGCCATTTAGAACGCAGTCAGAAACAAAGATCTCAACTGCCCCAGAGGCAACTAGAGAATGAGAGCGTTAAATACGCTGTTACCAAATGAACTTCCAGGAAGAGAGCACTGCACGTCAATGGAGGCTTTAAAGTTAGTTAGTTGAAGTTGACAGAAACAAGATGTATCCAATACAGACAGAGACTTCCAAACAAACCCACCCAATGATCTACTCTCTAAACATGGTGACATGTCTGATCAGCATTGACATCACCTTCTGATGTTCTGATGTTGTGATGTTCTGTTGTGATGTTCTGATTGAAGTGTATTTCCTGCTTTTTCCTTCCATCTGATTGTATTATTGAAATCCAGACACTGAAATTGATAAACTCCCATTTGTGCACAAAAATGTGTGTGCATTACAAAACCTATACAATGACTAATTAGTCAGTTGCCCTCCAGCAGTCCATAGTAATAAGTGATAAGGCTGTGCTTCCACCTATCCAGTCCTTTCAGATAGGAGGCCAAGGAAACGTGGTACAGGCCAGCGAGGAACCAGCCCCTTGGGTTGCACCACCACCTCTAAGCTGAGTGTGGTTTTGACTGATGCTTGCCCCGACCTGGCCCCGACCATGGTGTCCATGGCCTGGTGTGTGGTGTCCACGGTCTGGTGTGTGGTGTCCACGGTCTGGTGTCCATGGCTTGGTGTGTGGTGTCCACGGCCTGGTGTGTGGTGTCCACGGCCTGGTGTGTGGTGAAAAATTTTTCCAGAAAATCACATTGTAGGATTTTTAATGAATTTATTTGCAAATTATGGTGGAAAATAAGTATTTGGTCACCTACAAACAAGCAAGATTTCTGGCTCTCACAGACCTGTAACTTCTTCTTTAAGAGGCTCCTCTGTCCTCCACTCGTTACCTGTATTAATGGCACCTGTTTGAACTTGTTATCAGTATAAAAGACACCTGTCCACAACCTCAAACAGTCACACTCCAAACTCCACTATGGCCAAGACCAAAGAGCTGTCAAAGGACACCAGAAACAAAATTGTAGACCTGCACCAGGCTGGGAAGACTGAATCTGCAATAGGTAAGCAGCTTGGTTTGAAGAAATCAACTGTGGGAGCAATTATTAGGAAATGGAAGACATACAAGACCACTGATAATCTCCCTCGAGCTGGGGCTCCACGCAAGATCTCACCCCGTGGGGTCAAAATGATCACAAGAACGGTGAGCAAAAATCCCAGAACCACACGGGGGGACCTAGTGAATGACCTGCAGAGAGCTGGGACCAAAGTAACAAAGCCTACCATCAGTAACACACTATGCCGCCAGGGACTAAAATCCTGCAGTGCCAGATGTGTCCCCCTGCTTAAGCCAGTACATGTTCAGGCCCGTCTGAAGTTTGCTAGAGTGCATTTGGATGATCCAGAAGAGGATTGGGAGAATTCATATGGTCAGATGAAACCAAAATAGAACTTTTTGGTAAAAACTCAACTCGTCGTGTTTGGAGGACAAAGAATGCTGAGTTGCATCCAAAGAACACCATACCTACTGTGAAGCATGGGGGTGCAAACATCATGCTTTGGGGCTGTTTTTCTGCAAAGGGACCAGGACGACTGATCCGTGTAAAGGAAAGAATGAATGGGGCCATGTATCATGAGATTTTGAGTGAAAACCTCCTTCCATCAGCAAGGGCATTGAAGATGAAACGTGGCTGGGTCTTTCAGCATGACAATGATCCCAAACACACTGCCCGGGCAACGAAGGAGTGGCTTCGTAAGAAGCATTTCAAGGTCCTGGAGTGGCCTAGCCAGTCTCCAGATCTCAACGCCATAGAAAATCTTTGGAGGGAGTTGAAAGTCTGTGTTGCCCAGCGACAGCCCCAAAACATCACTGCTCTAGAGGATATCTGCATGGAGGAATGGGCCAAAATACCAGCAACAGTGTGTGAAAACCTTGTGAAGACTTACAGAAAACCTTTGACCTGTGTCATTGCCAACAAAGGGTATATAACAAAGTATTGAGAAACTTTTGTTATTGACCAAATACTTATTTTCCACCATAATTTGCAAATAAATTCATTAAAAATCCTACAATGTGATTTTCTGGAGAAAAAAAAATCTCATTTTGTCTGTCATAGTTGACGTGTACCTATGATGAAAATTACAGGCCTCTCTCATCTTTTTAAGTGGGAGAACTTGCGCAATTGGTGGCTGACTAAATACTTTTTTCCCCCTCTGTACGTGATAGGCCTATCTGGCTTATATGATCATGATGGTCATAATGCTTCTTGACAGTGTCATAAAGCGTATTTTCTTAGTCCAAGTAAAGTGACACACAATGTTTATAATGCCTATTGACAGTGTCATGGAGTGCATTTTCTTAGTCCAAGTAAAGGATGGTCAATGCTTCACGACAGTTATAATATAGTGTATTTTCTACAAGTTACTTAAAATGTGATGAAAGAAAAACATGACTGTAAAGAATTCATTACAACAAACGCCTTTTTTTTTAGGGGGAAGATCAGCTTTAATATTGTAGATAGATTGTGGCTTCCATCAATGTAATTGTCTGCAGCATTTCCAATCCCCCATATTTGTTTTGTAAATATATATTATTTTCCCCTAACCCTACCACCCCTCCCCTAATTTGAGTAAACTAATGGTCAACACTTTAGCTTCTACTTCCAGCTTATACGTACTATAGAAATTTTACAGACACTGTATATTTTACAATATCTATCTTTTGTTTGTTTTTGGTCCCATCCTTCAGCTCCACTCAACCCCTCCCACCTATCTCTGAACACCATCCAGTTTTGATTTCTATTTGCCATATATTTTTCAACTGTGCTGTGATGTTTCACAAAAGTTCTGAACCTTTCTATTGTCATAGATTGTACATATTGTAAATTAAAGATACATTTTTTTGGCGAAGAGTAATATATTATTGATCGATTGACTGACTTTTTAAATCACCCAGCAGTGCTATTTGCAGAGTTAGCTCAAGGTGAATGTTGCAATTCTTCAGCCATTCCTGAACCTGCTAGCAAAAATAAGCTACATATGGACAGTAACAAAACAAATTACTTAAACTTTCAAACGAAAGGAAACTTCTTGAAAGGGAAATAACGCATTTGATGAAATGTGGATTTTTACACTTACGTTGGTGTCATAACCAGCCATAACATAACGCAATATATGTCACAACAGGTGTAAATATATGGGTCATGACAGTGTTATTACCATATTATGACAGCTGTTATAACATAGTCCAGTGTTACCAGTCTTTCCTCCTATCAGTGATCTTTATCCAGACGGGTTAGGCTTTCCTCCCATCAGTGATCTTTATCCAGACGGGTTAGGCTTTCCTCCCGTCAGTGATCTTTATCCAGACGGGTTAGGCTTTCCTCCCGTCAGTGATCTTTATCCAGACGGGTTAGGCTTTCCTCCCGTCAGTGATCTTTATCCAGACGGGTTAGGCTTTCCTCCCGTCAGTGATCTTTATCCAGACGGGTTAGGCTTTCCTCCCGTCAGTGATCTTTATCCAGACGGGTTAGGCTTTCCTCCTGTCAGTGATCTTTATCCAGACGGGTTAGGCTTTCCTCCCGTCAGTGATCTTTATCCAGACGGGTTAGGCTTTCCTCCCGTCAGTGATCTTTATCCAGACTGGTTAGGCTTTCCTCCCGTCAGTGATCTTTATCCAGACTGGTCAGGCTTTCCTCCCGTCAGTGATCTTTATCCAGACGGGTTAGGCTTTCCTCCCGTCAGTGATCTTTATCCAGACGGGTCAGGCTTTCCTCCCGTCAGTGACCTTTATCCAGACGGGTCAGGCTTTCCTCCCGTCAGTGATCTTTATCCAGACGGGTCAGGCTTTCCTCCTGTCAGTGATCTTTATCCAGACGGGTTAGGCTTACCTCCTGTCACTGATTTTTATCCAGACGGGTTAGGCTTTCCTCCCGTCAGTGATCTTTATCCAGACGGGTTAGGCTTTCCTCCTGTCAGTGATCTTTATCCAGACGGGTTAGGCTTTCCTCCTGTCAGTGATCTTTATCCAGACGGGTTAGGCTTTCCTCCTGTCAGTGATCTTTATCCAGACGGGTTAGGCTTTCCTCCTGGTACATGTAAATGGTGAATAAAGGTGATTCTGATAATTTTCCTAGTACTGTTACTTACTGGAGATTCTCCTGACCAAGATGTTACTGAAATTAGTCAGGTGAGCCTTGACAGTATCCATAAATTGTTCAGTGAATAAAACTGATCAGTATGCTTCAAATGTCCATTTGTTTTCATTAAATACCTCAAGAACATACCAACACCAACTGCATTCGCTTTCACTTTATTGAATTATACCATAACAGCATTGATCACTTTCAATCACTTTCATTCTTACAGAAACAAATCTCAAAAGTACCACCCTTCCAAGGCTCGGCATATACAACACATGCAAGTTCAGTGTTTGTCCAGGAGTTAACCACACATTCACATGTATTGTATGTGTCGAGGCATGACATAAATATCTGTTGTATGCCCAACTTTGTTTTGCTTGTCAGAAATGGGAACACCCACCTCAAGTGTAAATAAATATATATAAAATATAAGGATCAATTACAGAAGAAGACTGAGGGGAGATATGTGATGTTGACTGATATCACCATGAGCAATCCTGACTTTAATCAAAATATGCCTCCCTCAGAATCAAGACAAAAGCATTTCTTTAACATTCTGAATATAGAACAGAGCAAGTCTTCTTCTTTCTTTACTTGTATGAGTGGCAATATGCACTAGGAAATTGCAATCCCCTTCTTCACACAAAAGCAACATTTTTTATTGTGCCAGTTGACAATACGTTTTCAAACTAAAAGTATATAACAGCTGGTGTATGGTGCTAATTGTAGAACAGATCGTTGTTGTTCAACTCTGGAAGATTAAAGATGGAAAGTCAGACTGGAAAGTCTTTATTTCTTTCTGTTTCCGCCACCAGACAGAATCATCACCATCCTCATGAAGATGTTCAGAGTGTCCATGTAGATCCCCATGCACCTACAAGACAGGATAACACCACAAAGCACCAACCGTCAGTTTCATAACGCAATACAAGACAGGATAACACCACAAAGCACCAACCGTCAGTTTCATAACGCTACAGAAGACGGGATAACACCATTAGGGCTGTCCCCGACAAAAAAAAAAATCATGGTCGACCGAGAGTCTTCTATTCTATCGACTGGTCTACATTTTTAAAACGTGTATTTTTCCATATATAGACACACCCTCTGTTTGAATACAATCAACTATAGTTTGGCTACTGAGCTTGTCTGATGCTTTAATTACTGCGATTAAAAATGAAGACACAAATGACTAAAGAGGGAGCCAGAGATCAATATAGCCTAACCAGAAGAAGAAAACAACCTGTTCCTGACCCTCTTCCTCCCGCTGCCCTTCACAGATTCTACCGTTATGCTCCTAAAGTTGCTGGTAATAGGCTACACTAGCGGTTGGCAACCTTTTCCGTTTGGAGTGCCAAGTTATCGTACCATTTCTGCGTGCCAGTTCTGATTTTTATATGCACATTTACGTGGAACAGTTTCATTTCATTTATAATAAAAAGTCTTCATATTTCAAAATCAATGTCATGTGGTTAATCAACATTTTATCTCAATGAAAACGATACACATCTAAAAAGTATCTTATATTGCCATTGCCAATACGTAAAAATAGCCTACATAAATTAACACATAAAAACATTGCAGCCTGCAGGTAGAAAATATCATGATAAAATAAATATCCTATAAATAACATTGGCTATGCATAGCCTGTCTGCAAGGAACTTAAAACATTGTATCAACTATTAACTTGGTCTAGCCCGATCGTGCTAGCAAACTTGCAATATTGTATAAAATATTCTGTTTCCTGCGCCAGTGAGCTCCGGACAGACACACAGCTGTAGACTATTTGAGCAAGGGATAAGACGTAATCAGGTAGGCCTATTTTATGAAGTTTCCACCAGATCAGAGCATGACATTTTTTCCCCCTTTCACGCTGAGTGGTTAATTGAAAGGGAGAGAGACCGAAAGATTTTTCAAGTAGGCTACGTTGAGGAACTATTGTCATTCTCAATGGCCTGCATTTGTGCGCAGGCCAGGTAGCCTACTGTTCTACTGTATAGTAGGCCAGTATTCTACTGTATAGTAGGCCAGTATTCTACTGTATAGTAGGCCAGTATTCTACTGTATAGTAGGCCAGTATGCTACTGTATAGTAGGCCAGTATTCTACTGTATAGTAGGCCAGTATTCTACTGTATAGTAGGCCAGTATGCTACTGTATAGTAGGCCAGTATTCTACTGTATAGTAGGCCAGTATTCTACTGTATAGTAGGCCAGTATGCTACTGTATAGTAGGCCAGTATGCTACTGTATAGTAGGCCAGTATTCTACTGTATAGTAGGCCAGTATTCTACTGTATAGTAGGCCAGTATTCTACTGTATAGTAGGCCAGTAATCTACTGTATAGTAGGCCAGTATTCTACTGTATAGTATGACAGTATTCTACTGTATAGTAGGCCAGTAATCTACTGTATAGTAGGCCAGTAATCTACAGTATAGTATGACAGTATTCTACTGTATAGTATGACAGTATTCTACTGTATAGTATGACAGTATTCTACTGTATAGTACGACAGTATTATACTGCATCATGATGGTATTGATAGTATTATACTGCATCATGATGGTATTGATAGTATTATACTGCATCATGGTGGTATTGATAGTATTATACTGCATCATGATGGTATTGATAGTATTATACTGCATCATGATGGTATTGATAGTATTATACTGCATCATGATGGTATTGATAGTATTATACTGCATCATGATGGTATTGATAGTATTATACTGCATCATGATGGTATTGATAGTATTATACTGCATCATGGTGGTATTGATAGTATTATACTGCATCATGATGGTATTGATAGTATTATACTGCATCATGATGGTATTGATAGTATTATACTGCATCATGATGGTATTGATAGTATTATACTGCATCATGATAGTAATGATAGTAATATACTGCATCATGATAGTATTGATAGTATTATACTGCATCATGATAGTATTGATAGTATTATACTGCATCATGATGGTATTGATAGTAGGGGTGGGCGATATGAGCTAAAATTCATATCACGATATTTTCCACTGTCCAGACGATATCGATATGATATCACGATATATGACGTAAAAAAATATGAATCACATTTTAATATCCCTTCTTGGTTAAATTATATTAGTTAAGGAAAAATATGTATTTGAACCTTATATAACCAGAAAGAGTGAGGCATTGGACCGTATGGACCTGAAAAGTTTTTATTTGTATTGTGCAAACATGCATTCCGTAAACATGAGGTAGGTAGGCCTATATATATATATATATATATATAAATTAGATATTAAGTAAAATTAAATAAAAAATAACAGGAGATAAAGAAAATAAGGTAATTACAAATTCAAATACGTGTGTTTGTTTTGGCTACGGTCCGTAGATATGTAAAAAACTAACCGTTTGAAACTAAACCTTTCAAGCCTCAACCATCAATTATCAACAATATCAACAAATCTTCACTAGAACTTTCTTCACAAGTTCCGTGCCAGGAATACCAGCATGTTGACTGTTTCTGGCTTTAGTGCTGCCCTGTGACATGTCACCACATTGCCCCCAGTGCTGAATGCCCTCTCAGAGGGGGCACTTGTGGCAGGGATGCATAAGTATTTCTTTGCCAGACAACTCACACGTGGAAAATTAGATCCGTGAAATCGCCACCACTCCAAAGGATCAGACTCGCTGTCTGCTGCCGTTGCCAGAATGTAGCTATTCAGCTCTTGCTCAATGATCTGCCTCTCTGAACATGAGGCAGGTGCACTGCTGGTCTGCTTAAAGAAGCTCCCAAGGCTCTTCTTGGGCTTCTTGCCTGATTGATGAGCAGTGGAAGCTTCTTTCTCCCTGTCAGTGTGATCCTCTGCAAGAGACGATTTTCCCAGGGCTGTGTTCTCCACCAGGAGGGCTTCGGTCTCTGAGGCAGCTCTCACCTTAAAAAATGAAAATAATTAAACTTTATTTGTATAGCACCTTTCATACATAAAATGCAGCCCAAAGTGCTTTACATTTGAAGCAATAAAACAAGAACAAATGAATAAATACCTTAATGTCCTCCAGTTTCTCAGCGGACATGTACCTGGTCTTGAACCTTGGATCTAGAAAGGTAGCCATGGAGAGCAGCTCATCTGTTGCAGGGTCAGTGTACTTGTTATTCAAGTAATCAAGAACCTTGATCTTGATCTCTTTGGTCAGTTCTGTATCGTCCTTGCTCAGATTTAGAACCTCTGCATTTAACAGATTGATGACAGGCTTCAAATAGGACACGCTCACATACGCTTCTCCTGACAGGGCATCTGTAAAGTCCTGGAGTGGCTTCAGTGCTGCTGTGACTGATTCCAAGACCTGGATGTCTTGCCAGGTAGGTACAAGGTGCCGTGTCTTTTTGTCCCCTGCCAGGACCTGTGTAATGGCCTTTTCCTGCTCCAGGACTCTTTCCATCATTTTCAGACGAGATCCCCACCTTGTCGGAGATTCTGTGATGAGCTTGTGCAGGGGCAGGCTTAGTTCATTCTGTGCTGTCATCAGGGCCTTCTGCTTTTTCCAGCTGTATGAGAACGTGCTAACCACCTTTTTGCAAACCCCTGTGGCCCGGGAAATCGCACACCCCTGTGGCCCGGGAGCGTTTTGGACACTCCTCTCTGGAAATTGGGAATAAGAAATCAAAATAATAGGGTGAAAAATAATCGAATCACAATACAATAATAATTAATAATAATGCATTTTTATATAGAAATCACAATACAATATAACTTTTAATCTTTGTTTGAGGATTTACGGCATTTACATTCAACTGTTACACATTTTACAAATCTGATGTGCTTAGATTTAGCCTACGGTACATGGCTGATGTGAGCTGTATTTTTTCTTAATAATAAGCATCATACAGGGTAGGCCTAGGCTACAGTCCTGAAACTTACCAATAGCATTGTGCAGCCTGTGTCCGAAACATCCAAGGTTTGCCCACTTGTTCAGCTGCAATGCCTTGATCATGTTCGATCCGCTGTCGGTCGTCATACAAACTTGACGCGACTCTTTTAATCCCCAGGACGACAGTATGTCCCTCAGCCCACCTGCAATTATTTCCCCGGTGTGGTCGTCTGGGAAATAAGACGTCTGTAGGCACTTACTTTTCAGTTTCCAGTCACCGTCTATGTAATGGATTGTGAGGCTTATATAAGGTTCTGTGGTACGACTTGACCATAGATCGGCAGTAGTGGAGAAGAATGGAATGTTATTTATCTCACTGTAAACTCTGTCCCAGCATTCTGTGTAAAGCTGTGGCAGGCATTTTTGGCTAAAATATTTGCGGCTCGGGATCTCATATCTTGGGTCCAGAGTTTGAATCAACTTTCTGAACCCCTCTTTCTCCACAGTTTGAATCGGTACCATGTCCTTCGCTATGTGATTTGTAATCGCAGCTGTGATGTCTATCCATTTTTTGCTCGTCTTCTCATAGCAAGTACCGGCAGCAAATGATGATATAATTGATTGTTGAGTGCGAGTCTGGCTTGTCTTCGGGCGAGCTCCTGGGCTTACTGTCTCACGCATTCTGGTGCATTGTTCATACTCACGGACATGTATGTTTTTTAAGTGATTGAACAGGTTGGTCGTGTTTCCACCTTTTGCTAAGACAACACGACGACACAACTTGCATAGGGTAGTGTTTTGGTCGGGGTCGGAGATTTTAAAGCCAAACCAGTTCCAAACAACAGAGGTGCCCCCTTTCTTCTTAACCAATTTATCCTCCTGCTCTTGAGCAACATCAATTTCTGTGTTTTCGCTCATCCTGGATTGTAAAGTTTTCCCCCAATAGTTAACCTGCCTCCTAACTGCAGCTGCCTGCACACTTCTTTGTTGCTAGCACTACATGCGTGCAACAAGTGCATGCGACGTGCGCTCATAAAAATAGGTCAACATATTAACATACATTCTTTTATTCGTAAGAACCAAGAAAGGTTGGATAAAAAAAAAAAAAAAAAGATGTAGCTACTTAGTACTATCACTCAGTTGAAATTTGGAACAAAAAAATATTGATGCAAAATTCGAATTTATGAATTCTGAATAAATCGCGGTATCCATGATATTGCTAAATCCATATCATGGCGCGGCACAATACCGGTTTTTACTATCAAACCGGTATATCGCCCACTCCTAATTGATAGTATTATACTGCATCAAGATAGTATTGATAGAATTACACTGTATCGTGATAGTATTCTACACTGAACAAAAATGTAAACACAACATACAACAATTTCAAAGATTTTACTGAGTTCATGTTTGTATAAGGAATTCAGTTCATAAGGAAATCAGTCAATTGAAATAAATTCATTCGGCACTAATATATGGATTTCAGATGACTGGGATTACAGATATGCCTCTGTTGGTCACAGACACCTTAAAAAAAAGGTAGTGTTGGGAATCAGAAAACCAGTCAGTATCTGGTGAGACCACCATTTGCCTCATACAGCGTGACACATCTCTTTCGCATAGAATTGATGAGGCTATTGATTGTGGCCTGTGGAATGTTGTCCCACTCCTCTTCAATGGCTGTTCGAAGTTGCTGGATCCTGGCGGGAACTGGAACATATTGATCCAGAGCATCACAAACATTCTCAATGGGTGACATGTCTGGTGATTATGCAGGCCATGGAAGAACTGGGACATTTTCAGCTTCCAGGAGTTGTGTACAGATCCTTGCGGCATGGGGCTGTGCATTATCATGCTGAAACATGAGGTGATGGCGGCGGATTAATGGCACTACAATGGGCCTCAGGATCTCATCACGGCATCTCTGTGCATTCAAATTGCCATCGATAAAATGCAATTGTGTTCGTTGTCTGTAGCTTATGCCTGCCCATACCATAACCCCACCGCCACTATGGGGCACTCTGTTCACAACATTGACTTCAGCAAAACGCTCGCCCACACGACGCCATACACGCTGTCTGCCATTTGCCCTGTACAGTTGAAACCGGGATTCATCCGTGAACAGTATATTTCTCCAGCGGCCATTTAAGGTGAGCATTTTCCCACTGAAGTCAGTTACGACGCCGAACTGCAGTCAGGTCAAGACCCTGGTGAGGACGACGAGCATGCAGATGGGCTTCCCTGAGATGGTTTCTGACAGTTTGTGCAGAGATTCTTCGGTTGTGCAAACCCACAGTTTCATCAGCTGTCCGGGTGACTGGTCTCAGACCATCCCACAGGTGAAGAAGCCGGATGTGGAGGTCCTGGGCTGAAGTGGTTATACGTGGTCTGCAGTTGGAAGTTGGGAGTTCGGTTGGACATTCTGCCAAATTCTCTAAAACGGCTTATGGTAGAGAAATCAACAAATTCTCTGGCAACAGCTCTGGTGGACATTCCTGCAGTCAGCATGCCAATTGCTCACGCCCTCAAAACCTGATACATATGTGGCATTGTGTTGTGTGACAAAACTGGACATATTAGAGTGGCCCTTTGTTGTCCCCAGCACAAGGTGCACCTGTGTAATGATCATGCTGTTTAATCAGCTTCTTGATATGCCACACCTGTCAGTTGGATGGATTACATTGGCAATGGAGAAAGGCTCACTAACAGGGATGTAAACATATTTGTGCACAAACTTCGAGTAATAAGCTTATTGTACGTATGGAACATTTTGGGGATTTTAAATTTCAGCTCATGAAACATTTTATTGCTATTTTTGTTCAGTGTATTCAAAAAAAATAAAGGGAACACTTAAACAACACAATGTAACTCCAAGTCAATCACACTTCTGTGAAATCAAACTGTCCACTTAGGAAGCAACACTGATTGACAATACATTTCACATGCTGTTGTGCAAATGGAATAGACAACAGGTGGAAATTATAGGCAATTAGCAAGACACCCCCAATAAAGGAGTGGTTCTGCAGGTGGTGACCAAAGACCACTTCTCAGTTCCTATGCTTCCTGGCTGATGTTTTGGTCACTTTTGAATGCTGGCGGTGCTTTCACTCTAGTGGTAGCATGAGACGGAGTCTACAACCCACACAAGTGGCTCAGGTAGTGCAGCTCATCCAGAATGGCACATCAATGCGAGCTGTGGCAAGAAGGTTTGCTGTGTCTGTCAGCGTAGTGTCCAGAGCATGGAGGCGCTACCAGGAGACAGGCCAGTACATCAGGAGACGTGGAGGAGGCCGTAGGAGGGCAACAACCCAGCAGCAGGACTGCTACCTCCGCCTTTGTGCAAAGAGGAGCACTGCCAGAGCCCTGCAAAATGACCTCCAGCAGGCCACAAATGTGCATGTGTCTGCTCAAACGGTCAGAAACAGACTCCATGAGGGTGGTATGAGGGCACGACGTCCACAGGTGGGGGTTGTGCTTACAGCCCAACACCGTGCAGGACGTTTGGCATTTGCAAGAGAACACCAAGATTGGCAAATTCACCACTGGCGCCCTGTGCTCTTCACAGATGAAAGCAGGTTCACACTGAGCACGTGACAGACGTGACAGAGTCTGGAGACGCCGTGGAGAACGTTCTGCTGCCTGCAACATCCTCCAGCATGACCGGTTTGGCGGTGGGTCAGTCATGGTGTGGGGTGGCATTTCTTTGGGGGGCCGCACAGCCCTCCATGTGCTCGCCAGAGGTAGCCTGACTGCCATTAGGAACCGAGATGAGATCCTCAGACCCCTTGTGAGACCATATGCTGGTGCGGTTGGCCCTGGGTTCCTCCTAATGCAAGACAATGCTAGACCTCATGTGGTGACCTCATGTGTGTCAGCAGTTCCTGCAAGAGGAAGGCATTGATGCTATGGACTGGCCCGCCCGTTCCCCAGACCTGAATCCAATTGAGCACATCTGGGAGATCATGTCTCGCTCCATCCACCAACGCCACGTTGCACCACAGACTGTCCAGGAGTTGGCGGATGCTTTAGTCCAGGTCTGGGAGGAGATCCCTCAGGAGACCATCCGCCACCTCATCAGGAGCATGCCCAGGCGTTGTAGGGAGGTCATACAGGCACGTGGAGCCCACACACACTACTGATCCTCATTTTAACTTGTTTTAAGGACATTACATCAAAGTTGGATCAGCCTGTAGTGTGGTTTTCCACTTTAATTTTGAGGGTGACTCCAAATCCAGACCACCATGGGTTGATACATTTTGATTTTCATTGATAATTTTTGTGTGATTTTGTTGTCAGCACATTCAACTATGTAAAGAAAAAAGTATTTAATAACATTATTTCATTCATTCAGATCTAGGATGTGTTATTTTAGTGTTCCCTTTATTTTTTTGAGCAGTGTATATCAAAGCAGGATAAAGAAATTTGAAATAACAGGAGAAATGGTCTAGTTGTCTTTCTATCTATCTGATTGAATAGTAACGTACAGAAATTGACTTGTCTTTCTATATGTTTGAATAGTAAGGTACAGAAAGGACTAGTTGTCTTTCTATCTGTTTGAATAGTAAGGTACAGAAAGGACTAGTTGTCTTTCTATCTGTTTGAATAGTAAGGTACAGAAAGGACTAGTTGTCTTTCTATCGGTTTGAATAGTAAGGTACAGAAAGGACTAGTTGTCTTTCTATCTGTTTGAATAGTAAGGTACAGAAAGGACTAGTTGTCTTTCTATCGGTTTGAATATTAAGGTACAGAAAGGACTAGTTGTCTTTCTATCTGTTTGAATAGTAAGGTACAGAAAGGACTAGTTGTCTTTCTATCTGTTTGAATAGTAAGGTACAGAAAGGACTAGTTGTCTTTCTATCGGTTTGAATAGTAAGGTACAGAAAGGACTAGTTGTCTTTCTATCTGTTTGAACAGTAGGGTACAGAAATCAGACATAGCAGGACAGATGACTCTGCAGACGTCACTTACGAGTTGATGGGGTCGTATTTCTGCATCCCATACATGGGGTATGTCTCTGCCCTCTTGATGACCTTCTGGGTGTCGTAAAGCAGGAACAAGCTGAAGAGGACCAGGCCTCCGTAGATAGCGATGGAGTACAGGCCTGCTCCCATCGCTGAGGTAGGGGGCAGGAACATTGAGCCTGGGGACAGAGAGAGTGGAGAGGACATTGTTTAATACCATGTCCTCAAGTTCAATTAATAACTGAGGGGAAATGATCTGACGAGGGCTCAAGGGTGTTTGTCACCAGAGAAACAAATCCTAAATAATGCTACTTGAAAAAGAAGAAACTCCAGCACACTAGTATCTTGAACAATCCATTAACAATTTACTCGGTTTCCTGGAACCAAAGGTTACGGTCCAATAGACTTCATTGATGTCTGTCTACCATGTTGTTTTTCATTGATAAACATTTTAAAATGCAATAACCATTTAGTTGTCTTCTAAAAGTATGACGTTTACAACCCTGCATTTTATGTCCATGTTCCTTTGTGAATTTGACCATAATAAACAGATTGTGAAGAAAAGGCAACTAACCGATGGAGGTGAAGACCACTGAAGCCCACAGCCAGGGTTATTGATCTAAAGGTACTAACCGATGGAGGAGGTGAAAACCACTAAAGCCCACAGCCAGGGTTATTGATCTAAACGTACTAACTGATGGAGGTGAAAACTACTGAAGCCCACAGCCAGGGTTATTGATCTAAAGGTACTAACCGATGGAAGAGGTGAAGACCACTGAAGCCCACAGCCAGGGTTATTGATCTAAAGGTACTAACCGATGGAAGAGGCGAAGACCACTGAAGCCCACAGCCAGGGTTATTGATCTAAACGTACTAACTGATGGAGGAGGTGAAGACCACTGAAGCCCACAGCCAGGGTTATTGATCTAAAGGTACTAACCGATGGAGGAGGTGAAGACCACTGAAGCCCACAGCCAGGGTTATTGATCTAAAGGTACTAACCGATGGAGGAGGTGAAGACCACTGAAGCCCACAGCCAGGGTTATTGATCTAAAGGTACTAACCGATGGAGGAGGTGAAGACCACTGAAGCCCACAGCCAGGGTTATTGATCTAAACGTACTAACCGATGGAGGAGGCGAAGACTACTCCGAAGCCCACCGCCAGGGGTCCTCCCATGTTGAGGAACTTCTCACTGGGGGCACACATGGCCACGGTGGACAGACCCCCCACGATGCCCGCTGTGTACCAGGCTGCCCTCATCATCAGGGGCCCACCTAGCAGAGTCATGGGGGCTATGACCGCTCCCATCACACCTGGAAAAAAAGGAACAAACAGATGTATTTATTAATTTATTCAGTTAGTTTAAAAGGGACCATGTACGTACACCAAACGTGAAAAAGCACCAGATTTTAGCTACACAGCTATTTCTCATCTGAGGTCCAAATAAAGCGGTTATATATCACAAGATGTTATATTTAAAGAAAAAGGATCTGGTATTTAACAGTCTGCTCTGAATATTCTCACAGGCACAGCACCAGTGTTGTAAGCACTAGAAAAACCTGATCCATTCATGTAAACTGCTGCTGCATAGTGTTGGTATTCTGAAACTCTATAGTACTGCCCTCTAGTGGTGAAAAGAAGCAAGTGGGACATTTCAATTGACAAACGCTTGGTAAAGTGAGCAGGTAAAGCAGTCCAGCACCTGCATGTAGCATCCAGGCTAGATGTTTGGTTCCTGGGCTCTGGTCATAGGAGATAGATCTGACCAGCATGCCTGCTCCAATCATGGCTGCAAAGGTAGCTCCAATTGCCTGGTGAAAAATGTACACATTTCTGTATTATTTTTAAAAAAATGTCTAATGTGGCTATTGAGGTGTAATGCAAGTGTCTCCAAATCATACACAATGGTTTGCCATTGACAATCAGCACCATATTTATCAATACAAAACCCTGAGGTTTGGTGGGCCCTCAAATGACTAATTTCATGTTTAAAGGGTTAATAATATACAGTGGATGCAGATATACTTGAAGAATACTGGAAGCACATTTTAGTCATAAGTCACTGGCCCGGTGGCGGTGGTTATTGTAAATATGAATATTTTCTTAAAGGTAGACTCAGCGATATGACGTAGATGCAGAAAGTAAACAGCATAGTGGGTCCATTTCCGCAACAACTAAAAGCGTTGAATCGTGAGGCTCAACTTCTCCGCTGTTTTGGTCCCCGGTGGCTACCATGATGTTACAGCGTGAAGCAAACGCATGCAAATGTACAGATCTGTGTGTGTGACTGTGTGAGAGCGAAGTCTTGCATCTCGCTCATCTCAATATCTGCGGTGCTGCTCGTGGCAACGTCATATCGCTGAGTCTACCTTTAACTGACTTGACTGGTTAAATAAAGGTTCAATAAAAAGGTGTATCACCAGCCAGGATCCTCTCATCATGAGACCCATGAGGGCTGGGGTCCTGCTGACTGCTACAGCCGACAGAGCTGTCATCCCCACACTGCCTGCAAAGTACATGTAGGTGGAGTGGATCCTGTCCTTCACGTACTGGGGCCAGATACTGGGCCGAGACCCAGGGAAAAGAACAGAAACATTTTTACAGAGGACAACGCTTGTTGATATGCCTCCAAAACAGCACCCTATTCCCAACAGAGTGCACTACTTTCAACCAGGACCCATAGGGCATTGGTCAAAATGAGTGCACTATGTAGGGAATAGGGTGCCATTTGGGACACAGAGAAGGTAACACTTTCCTTTAAGTTGTGGTTATACCATGGAACTACACAGCAATAGCTACAGTAATGACAAAGACACATGTACTTGATACCAGTGAATCGTTAAACCACTGTAACTTCATGGGATAACACCAGTACAACACTCACTACCATGGGATAACACCAGTACAACACTCACTACCATGGGATAACACCAGTACAACACACACTACCATGGGATAACACCAGTACAACACACAGACACTACCATGGGATAACACCAGTACAACACACACACTACCATGGGATAACACCAGTACAACACACACACTACCATGGGATAACACCAGTACAACACACACACTACCATGGGATAACACCAGTACAACACACACACTAGCATGGGATAACACCAGTACAACACACACACTACCATGGGATAACACCAGTACAACACACACACTACCATGGGATAACACCAGTACAACACACACACTACCATGGGATAACACCAGTACAACACACACACTACCATGGGATAACACCAGTACAACACACACACTACCATGGGATAACACCAGTACAACACACACACTACCATGGGATAACACCAGTACAACACACACACTACCATGGGATAACACCAGTACAACACACACACTAGCATGGGATAACACCAGTACAACACACACACTACCATGGGATAACACCAGTACAACACACACACTACCATGGGATAACACCAGTACAACACACACACTACCATGGGATAACACCAGTACAACACACACACTACCATGGGATAACACCAGTACAACACCCACACTACCATGGGATAACACCAGTACAACACACACTACCATGGGATAACACCAGTACAACACACACACTACCATGGGATAACACCAGTACAACACACACTAGCATGGGATAACACCAGTACAACACACACACTACCATGGGATAACACCAGTACAACACACACACTACCGTGGAAGCAGCTGCACTTACACTGCTCTCTCGATGGCACCGATCTCATTGGACATGCCGAGTCCGTAGTAGCACAGCGCTCCCAGGCCTAGAGCAGCCCCTCCAGCCAGGAACATCCTGCCCATGTTATCCACTGGAAGGAATACATAGTACATACATACCAGTTACAACCTGGTGCTGACTAGCACATGTAATGGTCCTGACTTCATTATGTAACTGTGGAGGGGGGGGGGGGGGGGGGGGGTGAGATGGGCCTATGCTGATTTCAGCTATGTTTACACGTGAGGTACATCATTCCCCGGCCCCCCCCGGCACGCAGATGTTTGTGTTGTGAGGTGAGATTGAAGTGCTTTAGTAAGTCATTATATTCACTTCTGATGGCAGTATCAGTGGCTGGCTCGAAAGCTGCCTGTTGGAGCTGGTCCTTGGCAGTTTTCCCACGACGGAAGCCCAATCTGGATTTGGTGGAATAGCCCTGATGAAAGAGGAAGATAAAGCAAAATATTACATACATCAGCAGTTATTACAGCATGCTGACCTACAACTGAAGACATACAAATTGTCCACAGGTAGGGTCTTTAAAAAAAATGTTGTCAATGGCCGCAGCCCCATGGGAATCTTATTAGCATGATGAAAAATCCCCATATAAATCTGTCAGTTTAAGATAGAGATCTGTTTTTTGCACGGGCTATCTGTTTATCCATGTATGAATCTGTTATTCAATGCGTTTCTATGGGCTAATAGCAGTAAGGCCAAATTCAATGTTTCATCAAATATTTTGTGTGTATATATATATATATATATATAAATAAATAAATAATGTGGTCCTCTGTAGCTCAATTGGTAGAGCATGGCGCTTGTAACGCCAGGGTAGTTGGGTTCGATCCCCGGGACCACCCATACGTAAAAATGTATGCACACATGACTGTAAGTCGCTTTGGATAAAAGCGTCTGCTAAATGGCATATTATTATATATTTATACAGTACCAGTGAAATGTTTGGACACACCTACTCATTCAAGGGTTTTTCTTAATTTTTTTTACTATTTTCTACATTATAGAACAATAGTGCAGACATCAAAACTATGAAATAACAGATATGGAATCATGTAGTAACTAAAAAAGTGTTAAACAAATCCAAATATATTTTATATTTGAAATTCTTCAAATAGCCACCGTTTGCCTTGATGACAGCTATGCACACTCTTGTCATTCTCTCAACCAGCTTCATGAGGTAGTCACCTAGAATGCATTTCAATTAACAGGTGTGCCTTCTTAAAAGTACATTTCTTGAATTTCTTTCCTTCTTAATGCGTTTGAGCCAATCAGTTGTGTTGTGAAAAGTTGGGGGGGGGGGGGTATACAGAAGATAGCCCTATTTGGTAAAAGACCAAGTCCATATTATGTCAAGAACAGCTCAAATAAGCAAAGAGAAACAACAGTCTATCATTACTTTAAGACATGAAGGTCAGTCAATACGGAACATTTCAAGAACTTTGAAAGTTTCTTCAAGTGCAGTCGCAAAAACCATCAAGTGCTATGATGAAACTGGCTCTCATGAGGTCCGCCACAGGAATGTAAGACCCAGAGTTACCTCCGCTGCAGAGGATAAGTTCATTAGAGTTACCAGCCTCAGAAATTGCAGCCCAAATAAATGCTTCACAGAGTAACAGACATCTCAACATCAACTGTTCAGAGGAGACTGTGTGAATCAGGCCTTCATGGTCGAATTGCTGCAAAGAAACCACTACTAAAGGACACCAATAAGAAGAGACTTGCTTGGGCCAAGAAACACAAGCAATGGACATTAGACCGGTGGACATTTGTCCTTTGGTTTGGAGTGCAAATTGGAGATTTTTGGTTCCAACCGCTGTGTCTTTGTGAGACGCGGTGTGGGTGAACGGATGATCTCAACATGTGTATTTCTCACCGTAAAGCATGGAGGAGGTGGTGTTATGGTGTGGGGGTGCTTTGCTGGTGACACCGTCTGTGATTTATTTAGAATTCAAGGCACACTTAACCAGCATGGCTACCACAGCATTCTGCAGCGATACGCCATCCCATCTGGTTTGGGCTTAGTGGAACTATCGTTTGATTTTTAAAAGGACAATGACCCAACACACCTCCAGGCTGTGTAAGGGCTATTTTACCAAGAAGGAGAGTGATGGAGCGCTGCATCAGATGACCTGGCCTCCACAATCCCCCGACCTCAACCAAATTGAGATGGTTTGGGATGAGTCGGACCGCAGAGTGAAGGAAAACCAGCCAACAAGTGCTCAGCATATGTGGGAACTCCTTCAAGAATGTTGGAAAAGCATTCCAGGTGAAGCTGGTTGAGAGAATGCCAGGAGTGCGCAAAGCTGTCATCAAGGCAAAGGGTGGCTATTTGAAGAATCTCAAATATAAAATATATTTGGATTTGTTTAACACTTTTTTGGTTACTACATGATTCCATGTGTGTTATTTAATAGTTCTGATGTCGTCACTATTATTCTACAATGTAGAAAATAGTAAAAATAAAGAAAAACCCTTGAATGAGTAGGTGTTCTAAAACTTTTGACCGGTAGTGTGTGTGTATGTGTATGTGTGTGTGTGTGTGTGTGTATACACTGCTCAAAAAAATAAAGGGAACACTAAAATAACACATCCTAGATCTGAATGAATGAAATAATCGTATTAAATACTTTTTTATTTACATAGTTGAATGTGCTGACAACAAAATCACACAAAAATTATCAATGGAAATCAAATTTATCAAGGTCTGGATTTGGAGTCACCCTCAAAATTAAAGTGGAAAACCACACTACAGGCTGATCCAACTTTGATGTAATGTCCTTAAAACAAGTCAAAATGAGGCTCAGTCGTGTGTGTGGCCTCCACGTGCCTGTATAACCTCCCTACAACGCCTGGGCATGCTCCTGATGAGGTGGCGGATGGTCTCCTGAGGGATCTCCTCCCAGACCTGGACTAAAGCATCCGCCAACTCCTGGACAGTCTGTGGTGCAACGTGGCGTTGGTGGATGGAGCGAGACATGATGTCCCAGATGTGCTCAATTGGATTCAGGTCTGGGGAACGGGCGGGCCAGTCCATAGCATCAATGCCTTCCTCTTGCAGGAACTGCTGACACACTCCAGCCACATGAGGTCTAGCATTGTCTTGCATTAGGAGGAACCCAGGGCCAACCGCATCAGCATATGGTCTCACAAGGGGTCTGAGGATCTCATCTCATTGCCTAATGGCAGTCAGGCTTCCTCTGGCGAGCACATGGAGGGCTGTGCGGCCCCCCAAAGAAATGCCACCCCACACCATGACTGACCCACCGCCAAACCGGTCATGCTGGAGGATGTTGCAGGCAGCAGAATGTTCTCCACGGCGTCTCCAGACTCTGTCACGTCTGTCACGTGCTCAGTGTGAACCTGCTTTCATCTGTGAAGGGCACAGGGCGCCAGTGGCAAATTTGCCAATCTTGGTGTTCTCTGGCAAATGCCAAACGTCCTGCACGGTGTTGGGCTGTAAGCACAACCCCCACCTGTGGACGTCGGGCCCTCATACCACCCTCATGGAGTCTGTTTCTGACCGTTTGAGCAGACATGCACATTTGTGGCCTGCTGGAGGTCATTTTGCAGGGCTCTGGCAGTGCTCCTCCTGCTCCTCTTTGCACAAAGGCGGAGGTAGCAGTCCTGCTGCTGGGTTGTTGCCCTCCTACGGCCTCCTCCACGTCTCCTGATGTACTGGCCTCTCTCCTGGTAGCGCCTCCATGCTCTGGACACTACGCTGACAGACACAGCAAACCTTCTTCCTTTCAGCTCGCATTGATGTGCCATCCTGGATGAGCTGCACTACCTGAGCCACTTGTGTGGGTTGTAGACTCCGTCTCATGCTACCACTAGAGTGAAAGCACCGCCAGCATTCAAAAGTGACCAAAACATCAGCCAGGAAGCATAGGAACTGAGAAGTGGTCTGTGGTCACCACCTGCAAAACCAGTCCTTTATTGGGGGTGTCTTGCTAATTGCCTATAATTTCCACCTGTTGTCTATTCCATTTGCACAACAGCATGTGAAATGTATTGTCAATCAGTGTTGCTTCCTAAGTGGACAGTTTGATTTCACAGAAGTGTGATTGACTTGGAGTTACATTGTGTTATTTAAGTGTTCCTTTTATTTTTTTGAGCAGTATATATATATATATATATACACACCTTAAGGGTCCTAAAAATCAAATAGCTAAATGATCCTTTGAATGACCATCTTAAAACAATTCCATATGTTAATTTAGTAGATTTGCCAGTGGCAACGGAAAACTACTGTCCCAATTGAAAAGAATACTGGTCCGGGAAAACGAATGATGCGCACATCTTTAATTTGCAGGCTGAGCCTGAGCACAGTACTACATAGAGCCATGACTACATGGAACTCTATTCCACATCAGGTAACTGATGCAAATAGTAGAATCAGATTTTTAATAAACAGATAAAAAAACACCTTATGGAACAGCAGGGACTGTGAAGCAACGCAAACATAGGCACAGACACATGCATACACACACACGATAACATACGCACTAAACACACACGTACACATGTATTTTGTGTGGTAGATATGTGGTAGTGGTGGAGTAGGGGCCTGAGGGCACACAGTGTGTTGTGAAATCTGTGAATGTATTGTAATGTTTTTTTTAACTGCCTTAATTTTGCTGGACCCCAGGAAGAGTAGCTGCTGCCTTGGCAGTAACTAATGGGGATCCATAATAAATACAAAATACAAAATCCATACACCAATAAATTACATTTCAATTTGACAATATCATATTTACATTGATTGTAAATCTCAAAAAGGCTGTTATTGTTAGTCTACAGTTGTATGGCCCTATAAAATCAGTTTTATCTTTTGGTAAATTTAGTTTTCCCAGTTTTATTTAAGGTTTCCGAGTTGTTTGAGGTTTTCACTCAAAATCACACTTTTTATAGAAAAACTAAAAGATAAATTGATGTTTTAAGTCCACAACAATGCTTAAAAACCACATCAGGAGACAACTTTTGAGGTCTGGGAACAATATATAAAAAATATATTTGGAGGGTGTAGTTGCCCTTTAATTCAAGTGCGGGACTAGCAAGAGACAGAATGGCGCTGCAATGGATAGATGCCGTTTTACAGGCTCCTGACCAATTCTAACATTTTAGTCCCCTCCTGTACTCCCTGTTCACCAACGACTGCGTGGCCACACATAACTCCCAACACCATCATTACGTTTGCTGACGACGCGACGGTCATAGGCCTGATAACCGACGACGACGAGACAGCCTATAGGGAGGCCTGGCAGTGTGGTGCCAGAGACGTGGCAGTGTGGTGCCAGAGACGTGGCAGTGTGGTGCCAGAGACGTGGCAGTGTGGTGCCAGAGACGTGGCAGTGTGGTGCCAGAGACGTGGCAGTGTGGTGCCAGAGACGTGGCAGTGTGGTGCCAGAGACGTGGCAGTGTGGTGCCAGAGACGTGGCAGTGTGGTGCCAGAGACGTGGCAGTGTGGTGCCAGAGACGTGGCAGTGTGGTGCCAGAGACGTGGCAGTGTGGTGCCAGAGACGTGGCAGTGTGGTGCCAGAGACGTGGCAGTGTGGTGCCAGAGACGTGGCAGTGTGGTGCCAGAGACGTGGCAGTGTGGTGCCAGAGACGTGGCAGTGTGGTGCCAGAGACGTGGCAGTGTGGTGCCAGAGACGTGGCAGTGTGGTGCCAGAGACGTTGGCAGTGTGGTGCCAGAGACGTGGCAGTGTGGTGCCAGAGACGTGGCAGTGTGGTGCCAGAGACGTGGCAGTGTGGTGCCAGAGACGTGGCAGTGTGGTGCCAGAGACGTGGCAGTGTGGTGCCAGAGACGTGGCAGTGTGGTGCCAGAGACGTGGCAGTGTGGTGCCAGAGACGTGGCAGTGTGGTTCCAGAGACGTGGCAGTGTGGTGCCAGAGACGTGGCAGTGTGGTGCCAGAGACGTGGCAGTGTGGTGCCAGAGACGTGGCAGTGTGGTGCCAGAGACGTGGCAGTGTGGTGCCAGAGACGTGGCAGTGTGGTGCCAGGACAACTACCTCTCCCTCGACGTCGGCAAGACAAAGGAGCTGTTCGTGGACTACAGGAAACGGAGGGCCGAGCACGCCCACATTCACATTGACGGGGCTGTAGTGGAGCGGGTCGAGAGCTTTAAGTTCCTCTGTGTCCACTAAGGATCTATCATGGTCCACACCAACACAGTCATGAAGAGGGCACGACAAGGACTCTTTCCCTCAAGAGGCTGAAAAGACTTGGCATGGGCCCTCAGATCCTCAAAATGTTATACAGCTGCACCATTGAGATAATCTTGACTGGCTGCATCACCGCCTGGTATGGCAACTGCTTGGCATCCGACCGCAAGACACTACAAAGGGTAGTGCGTACAGCCCAGTACATCACTGGGGCCGAGCTCCCTGCCATCCAGGACCTCTATACCAGGCGTTTTTTTAGAGGAAGGCCCTAAAAATTGTCAAAGACTCCAGCAACCCAAGTCATAGACTATTCTCTCCGCTACCGCACGGCAAGCGATACCGATGCACCAAGTCTGGAACCAACAGGACCCTGAACAGCATCAACCCACAAGCCATAAGACTGCTAAATAGTTAGTTAAATAGTTAGTTAAATAGTTAGTTAAATAGTTAGTTAAATAGTTAACCAAATGGCTACACGGACTATCTGCATTGACCTTTTTTGTACAAACTCTTTTGACTTATCACATACGCTGCTGTTACTGTTTATTATCTATCCTGTTGACTAGTCACTTTATCCCTACTTATATGTACATAACTACCTCAATTACTTCGTACCCCTGAACATCGACTCGCTACTGGTACCCCGTGTATATAGCCAAGTTATCATTACTTGTGTATTTATTCCTTGTGTTATATCATTTTATATTTTTTCTTCTGCATAGTTGGGAAGGACCCGTAAGTAAGCATTACACTGTTAGTCTACACCTGTTGTTTACGAAGCATGTGACCAATCCATTTTGATTGGAGACTGTTGTATTTGGCTAGCTGTGTTTTTGTACTGTACAATGTAGGCTACATGTGATGGCAGAGTTTGGAAAACCAATGCCCCACGATTGCTACGAGTCATCATGATATCATTCTGCCAGGTAGGCCTACTTTACAGTCAACATTTCATTGGGAAGTTTTTTTATGAACGCCTTTAGAAATGTTCATTCAAACAGCGCATGATGATTGAATTGCGCCTCGCCAAGATTCAACCTAAGACTTTGGACCAAACGTTTTTGAATACCCATTTCTGAAAAGCAAATTGTGAACCAAAAACTACTGTGAACAGAAAACAAAAAATAAAAAATATTACTGGCACCATAGCGACCAATAAACAATTGGTGTTGCACTGCCAAGTCCAATGCAAGTGTTTTGGTCGCAGTTTTGAGCTCTGACTGGACAAGTGTGTTATTCAGCATCTCTGTCAGGGATGACTGTACCTGATGAGGCTTAAGCAAGGGTGTGTGTGTGTGTGTTAGGGATGGGCAAGAGTAATTGTGTACTCGAACGGATGTCAAAACGATATCTTTAACCAGAGATCACTTTTTCTTTCTCCAAATACTGTAAAAACGATTTGGTCTAAACAAAACAAAATTGAAACCAAGCCAAGCATCCCTCAGTTTCTTCTCCCTAAATTCCCTTTCCCCTCGGTGTCTCACTCACTCACACGCGTTCGGACCACTCCCGCTAAACACGCGTGCACACTAATTTAAGGTCAGGGTTAGGCATAAGGTTAGGAGTATGGTTAAGGTTAAGGTCAGGGTTAGGCATAAGGTTAGGAGTATGGTTAAGGTTAAGGTCAGGGTTAGGCATAAGGTTAGGAGTATGGTTAAGGTTAAGGTCAGGGTTAGGCATAAGGTTAGGAGTATGGTTAAGGTTAAGGTCAGGGTTAGGCATAAGGTTAGGAGTATGGTTAAGGTTAAGGTCAGGGTTAGGCATAAGGTTAGCAGCGGGGTTAAGGTTAAGGTCAGGGTTAGGCATAAGGTTAGGAGTATGGTTAAGGTTAAGGTCAGGGTTAGGCATAAGGTTAGCAGCGGGGTTAAGGTTAAGGTCAGGGTTAGGCATAAGGTTAGCAGCGTGGTTAAGGTTATGGTCAAAGGTTAGGTTTAAGAAGATAAATTGGTAGAAATAGGTGGGGTTTATGACTTTGTGGCTGTGGTAACTAGTGACGACCCCTACTTTGCGACACCCCGGCCTTACGTTTTTTATTTAACCGACCTGTAAAGCTGTGTGTGTTAAATTTAGGCAAACACTGAACTGATCAATGAGCTCAGTTGGTCAGGTGTGGCGCCTAGTTGGAACAAAGCCATGCAGTAGCTGCGGCACTCCAGGAACAGGGTTGCCTACTCCTGGCCTAGGCTATAACCCTGCTAAACACAGACAGGTTCCACACTGAAAATATACTAAAACATTAGTTTGATAAAGACAAAGAGCGTATTTTAATCAGAATCATTAAGCCTAGGCCTACTCGCCAGACAGATGTCGTGAAAATAATTCATCCCCATGCAGTGTTCAATATGGAATTGTTAATCCATTTGGAAAATTCCAAAGAACAAGCAGAATAAACTACATTGAACGTCTGTATATCAAAAAGAACCATTTTGGTTTTGTAACCCTGGAAGAAAAAACATTCCAAATTGAGTCCCAGTTTCAAAATGATCACTGGGAATAACTGTTCCAGATGCGTGATGACTTCACACTATTCTGTTCTATTTTATTCTGGTTATATTACATCATGTTTTTTACTATAAAATAGGCGTGTCTTGACTGTGATAAGGCCTCGGGAAATAAGAGCGTCTTGTCTGCCAAATTAACAAAACAAGGCCACACCGTTGCACAGCCACAGGCTTCTTACAAGCTAGCACCACTTCTGAGGTTACTACCTTTTTGAAGACTGTGTTCCACAATATAATATAACCAGTTGATATTACGGTTTCAATTAATTAATCTTAAAATGGCACTTGTCTTTTTATTGATTAAATATGAGGCAATTTAGCAATTAGGATTTGTCATCTGTAATGGTTATGTTAAATTATACATTTTTGCGCACCGTTGGCATGTAGATAAATGTATATTTTTTCCAGTGCGGGCCTTGTGTTCTAAAGGTTTATTTTATTTTATTTGAGTACTGGAGTAAAAATGATGTGAGTGCTGGAACAGTCCAACAAAGTCAAAAGCCCATCCCTAATGTGTTACCTGGTGGGCCTTGAGGAGCGGTGGGCAGCTCTTCAGGGTGGAGCTCCTCAGGGCTGGAGAGCCCTGGGTCAACATAGGACGCAGCCCGGACACAGGGAGACTGCGCAGGCATGCTAGCCTCACCAACATGGTCATGATAAAGCTCTGGAATTACAATCTGAAAACAGTTCAAAAGATCAGACAGTCAGCAACCACAACAATGACATCTAGAATACATGTGGTAATATGTAGTATCCATGTGTTCATTACTAATAAAATATGATATGGCATTCATGCTCATGTTCTAGCTAGCTAACTCGCTTGCAGGTGCTTTAAGTCGCCTCCAAGTTATTCATTTTTTGTGCACATATGGCGTACGTGCAGGACTTTTATTTTGACATGAGGTAAGCAGAGAGGAAATGGGTCGACAACAGTCTTTAATAATACGTTCCTTTAGATATTTTGTCTCAAATTCCCCATCATAATGACCAACTGTCCTGCCCACCGGCACAGTAAGTTGATTGAATTGTATTTAATATCTGGCTTCCCGCTGACTGTTTTTGTGCAACCCAATACAATAAGGAGCAACGCTTGTCTATGTAAATACAACCGTGTGGCTAAAAGCAGCTAACGTTAGCTAACGTTACATGTTGATGATTTCCTTCCTGTACTGTTTGTAACTACCCTGGTAGGTTGATTGACAATGTTATAACCTTGTATTGCTACCACTGTATCATCAAAGGTATTATCTAAGTGAGTTCCAGAGATTGTCAGAATATGAACGGCATCTGTTACTAGCAAATTATTGATTTCATGAACCTTGTTTCTTAAGCTACATATGTTAACGTGGGCTATTTCTAACACTTTTCTGTGATGCTTGATTATTTGTCTTGCTTTACTGGGAGGCTTAGCAGAGGTAGACATACTCAGGTTATTTTTCTTTGTGCATTGGCCGGAAGTGGGAGAAGATGGAGCGAGATGGATTATGGACGACATTCTGTTAATTTTCTCATCTATGAAACATTTGATCTCCATACAGTTCGTTTCCAAAACGATGATTAATTTGCTCCCATTGGAAACGAAAGGCTCTGGTCCATCTTGGGTTAGTTATAAAAAAGCTTTGCTATCACAGTCATTGTCAGGCAACTAACTCGCTTTCTATACTGAACAAAAATATAAACACAACATGTAAAGTGTTGGTCCCATGTTTCATGAGCTGAAATAAAAGATCCCACATGGTTTTACAGAATTTGGCAGTACGTCTGCGACCAGCCACCCGGACAGCTGATGAAACTGAGGAGTAGTTCAGTCTGTAATAAAGCCCTTTTGTGAGGAAAAAATAGTTTTGATTGGCTGGTCCTATGCCCACCCATGGCTGTGCCCCTGCAAGTGACGTGAAATCCATAGGTTATGGCCTAATGAATGTATTTCAATTGACTGATTTCCTTATATGAACTGTAACTCAGTAAAATCGTTTTAACTGTTGCGTTTATATTTTTGTTCACTATACAAAGACGAGTGAAAAACATAGCTAGCTTACTAAATTAGCTGATCATTCTGGTTTTCATAACACAGTATGTTAGCTAACGTTAGCTAACTGCAGAATCCCAAAGCTGAGAAAAGTTAAATGAAATAACGAGGATCATGAACATAAAAGCACCACAGCTATCTTTTATAGTCATAAAAACGTATATTTGATTGAATTTTGCTGAATTTGTCAGAGAATGTTCCTTGTTTTGTAACCATTGCGTACGTTAGAAAGCGGCTTGCTTGCTAGTTAGTCGCTGTTGTGATTCACATCGAGCTGACAAGTTAACATCGTTTCCTCCTTAAAAGCGTTGCTACAAATTTAGATATTGATAGATCATGTCAACAATAAAACAGTACTCCTATTTACAATGTTTTAAAGATAAGTCAAAACTCTATATATTACATACCAAGCGTGTAGCTAGACTTCTGTTCACCTTCCTTGAGATAAGTGCGCACTTCACTGACGTACTATGACGCACTTTCGTGAAAGTTCTGACCGATGTCATCATCATCAGGGGACGAATTTCAGTGAAATTATGTGACTTGTAGTTCTTAGGTTGTTTTTTATTTCTAGAGATTCTAAAGACGTGTAAAATGAATTCCAACAGGTGGCGGCACATCTTCATCCACCAAAAAGTGCTGCAACGTTTGCAACTCAACTTTTGAGGATAGCATATCTTTCAGTTTCAACTTGCTTATGAGGCTTTGGAGATCAATTTTTGTTTTAAATGGGCCATTACGTTGATATAGAAAGAGAGAAAGAGAGAGCACTCTGAAATGAATTGAGAGAGGGAAAGATGGAGTGAGGGAGGCGAGTGCGAGCGAGACAGAGAAAGAGTGGCCCTCTATATTCGGCTATGCCAAAACCACGACGGGTGAGGGGCCAACCTCCCCACATGTGACTACTGTGTCCATTTTTAGAGGTAGAGCGGCACACTCGGTCACGGTTGGAGTTCCTGCCCTTTCGTTGCGATTAGAGGTGTAAAATTATTATTTTCCAACCGTTAATGTTTTTTTTTTTTGTTACACATATCTTCCCCCAGTTAATTTCTTGTCATTATTGATCTGAGTTTATTTTCTTTATATTTCGTGTGGACAGTTTGAGATACTTTTTTTTTTTTTCTAAACTTTTCTTTCTAAAATGTCAACGTTTGCTTGCGTATTTTAGTAGCCTACCTTCGTCTATGGAATCATCTTGGGGATATTAGAAATAGCCTAACGGACATGGAGTGGGTTATGAAGTTTTCCCACACAAGGTGCCTTTTGTTCATGAATAAGGCAGCGTGCTTTTGGAGGGTTAGACCATGAGGGAACCCATCGAGCGCACAACTGTCGATTAGGCGACTGGTTGCTTGAGAGCTTCAAAATAAAATGGTAAGGAATGCTCAGTTTTAAACCAAGTACGTTTTTATAAATGTTTTCATAAAAATAAAAAGTTGTTGTTGCTTTATTATTTTCATTATTTAAAAAAAAGTGTTTGCTACTTTTCATTATTTGAGAATAAATAACATGGTATGCTCTATTGATGACTTTATTGATGATGTATTACTACTTTATTACTAGCCTATTAACTCATTACTGTATGAGGACTTCCTGCTGTATAAATGATGTATTGTATCCAGTGTGGATGACTAGACAAGGTTTGTGCTCTATATCACCTGATAGCTCGTGGCTATTCATTTCTAAAGACCAAACGCCATCTTTTTAATGGCTGGGTATACCTGCATGAGCTGGAAGCACCACCAATGGATGAGGGCTTCTAGGGTATCAAACAAGCCACAGTGATATGATGCCAGCGCTGCCCTCTGTCAATGTGCCAGCTTGTCAGGATCCAATACAGCCCCCCATTGCTCAGTTTGTCCGGGCTGCCAGCTCTAGGAAGAGTCTTGGTGGTTCCAAACTTCTTCCATTTAAGAATGATGGAGGCCACTGTGTTCTTGGGGACCTTCAATGCTGCAGACATTTTCTGGTACCCTTCCCCAGATCTGTGCCTCGACGCAATCCTGTCTCTGAGCTCTACGGACAACGGATACACTCTATCCACATGTACATATTACCTTAATTACCATGACTAACCTGTGCCCCCGCACATTGACTCTGTACCGGTACCCCCTGTATATAGCCTCCCTACTGTTATTTTATTTTACTGCTGCTTTTTAATTATTTTAAATTTAAATGTTTTACTTATCACTTATTTTTCTTAAAACTGCATTGTTGGTTAAGAGCTTGTAAGAAAGCGTTTCACTGTAAGGTCTACACCGGTTGTATTCGGCACAGGTGACAAATAACATTTATTTGATTTGAATTGAATTCCTTCGACCTCATGGCTAGGTTTTTGATTTGATTTGAATTCCTTCGACCTCATGGCTAGGTTTTGATTTGATTTGAATTCATTCGATCTCATGGCTAGGTTTTTGATTTGATTTGAATTGAATTCCTTCGACCTCATGGCTAGGTTTTTGATTTGATTTGAATTGAATTCCTTCGACCTCATGGCTAGGTTTTTGATTTGATTTGAATTGAATTCCTTCGACCTCATGGCTAGGTTTTTGATTTGATTTGATTTGAATTCCTTCGACCTCATGGCTAGGTTTTTGCTCTGACATGCACTGTCAACTGTGGGACCTTATATAGACAGGTGTGTGCCTTTCCAAATCATGTCCAATCAATAGAATTGACCACAGGTGGACTCCAATCAAGTTGTGGAAACATCTCAAGGATGATCAATGGAAACAGGATGCACCTGAGCTCAATTTCGAGTCTCATAGCAAAGGGTCTGAATACTTATGTAAATAAGTTGTTCCTGTTTTTGTTTTTTTCATTTTTTATACATTTGCAAAAATTTCTAAAAACCTGTTTTTGCTTTGTCATTATGGGGTATTGTGTGTAGATTGATGAGGAAAACAAATATATTTAATCTATTTTAGAATAAGGCTGTAATGTAACAAAATGTGGAAAAAGTCAAGGGGTCTGAATACTTTGCGAATGCACTGTATGTGTGTCTTTCGGAGGGGTTGGGTTAAAAGCGGAAGTAACATTTCAGTTGGACCTTGTGTGCTATTGACCAATAAAGTCATCTTTATCTTAATCTTAGCCTGGTCCCAGATCTGTTTGTACTTTCTTGCCAATGGCCACAGGGTTTGGCAAGACAGCACAAAGAGATCTGAGTCCAGGCTACATCCATTACAGAGGAACCACTGAACTGCTCTCTGTAAATATGAGCCAACCTGCCATGGGGCCACGATCCCCCAGACTCCACAATGGGGCACAGCCTCTACTTTATCATGTAGACTAGAGTATCACGCTTTAAATAGCCCTGTGGATTTACAGTATTACAGTATGTCAAGCTAAACGTCTGTTGATAGGGGTAAGGCAAAATCACCTGAGTTGATGTCATGTTGCTGTATGTCTGTGGTGCCTATGATAGCCTAATGTACCTGCAATGTTAATTACTTTGTCAAGGTAGAGTAAAAAAACAACAACTGCAGATCGCTTCTATTCTGAAATTATTCAAGATTTCACTTGATACACTGCTTTGCACCGCCAGATCAGGTGAAAATAAAACCATATGTTGTTCAAGCTTCACTGACTGCATTAATTGAAATTTCACACAGAGAAATGGATAC